GCGGGGCGCGCGCCTTGTCCGCCCCTCGCTGCCCGCCGCGCGGCCCCGCGCAGTTCTCTCTGTGTGTGTGTATGTATACATGTATGTGTGTGTGTGTATGTATGCGTATGTGTGTTCATATATGTCTCTGTGTATATATATGTGTGTATATGTGTATACGTACACATGTGTATATGTGTGTGTGTGGATATGCATGTATGTGTGCAAGTGTATGCACGTATGCACACACACGTAACATATATATATGTATATGTATATACATACACACATATATACACATAACATATGTATATATATACATATAGCACACACATATATGTGTTATGTGTATATATATGTGTGTGTGTATATATATATCCATATGTGTGTGTGTGTGTGTGTGTGTGTGTAGTTTATGTATTTGCTTTCCTCACGGGAGGTTTGTCTCCTGCCGGTGGGATGCACAGGGCCCTGCTGGGGTGTAGAAACAGTTGCAGTGCTGATTTACGTTTTCCCCACTGTGTGTCTAACCCACTACTTCACTCCTTTTCCTCATCTTTTTGTTTATTTTTTAATATTATGCATGTGTACTCTTTAATTGTGATGCAAAAAAGATAACTGGTACCGTATGAAGGAAATAAATACCTAAAATGCACCCTTTTCTTAAGGACAGCTCTGGCTGCTCACTGGGGCTCTGCTCATGTACATCTGTGTTTGTTTGTTTAGTTCAGTTTTCACACACAATTTCTTCTTCCAGGCAGTAGAAGTGTTGCTTAAGGGCTTGGCTAGAGAACCTGCTCCAGCACTTGTATTTGTGGGTAATTTAGAAGAGATTTTTGTCAAGCTGTCCGTGATTGTAGAGTTTCTTTCATGAGAGCACACACCTACCTTCAGTACCTCCAGGTACACTTAACTCCAGGTTTTCTGAACTATAATCCTCTGGGGTTTCAGTGTGTTTAAATTTAATACAAGACGTAAATTATTGTTTACATTCCTTAGAATTCATTAAGTAAAAATTAGAATATGGGGGTGATCAGCAAGTTTTGCTCTCTAGCTTTTTGTTAAGTAGCCAGTTGAGAGGGAAGATGGCCTGTCCAGCCTGGAAAATAACCAGTGCAGCAAGGACACAGCTACTCTCTCATTCCGCCTTTTCTCCCTTTTCATTCTGTTGTAGTCTGTACTTAAGTCTGAAGAAACATTGAATCTTAGTTCCAGACTTAAGCCTGGAATTGCAAAGTATCAAAGGACTTTTTTTTTCTTTTATTGAGAATGTTGAAAATGCAGTTGCTGAACCTGTTGGGCTGTAAATGCTGCTCCTTCTTTTCCTGCTCCCTGTAAAAGGAGTAACTTGATACTTTAGGCAAATAGCGACTCACTGGCATCCTGCAGCATCTGTGTTTAAACTTCTCTTGAAAGGTTGACAGGGTGAAACAAGCCCCTTGTCCCGAGTCCAGATCTTTGCAAAGTGGACAGCGAGGGATGTTTTGTGAAGTGTTTTATCCTGCAGCCTGGTGCTTGGGGATTCCTCCAGTAGGATGACGAGGAGGAGAGAGCTGCTACCAGTCGGCCTTAAACCTCTACTGGGGAAAAAAAAAAAAAAAAAAAAAAAAAAAAACATATATTCAACCTCTTTGACTTGTAAATTCTGGAAAAAAAAAAACCCAAAACAACTATTAAAAGAAATCTCACAAACATTCTAGGAAGAGATAGCAAGTCTGAGTGCCACGTATATGTATATATGCTGGTGTTAGACATGATTTCTGATCGCTCTGGTAGTCAACATACCCTAGAAATAATGAATATTGTTACTGTCTGTCTGTAGGCTGTGACAGTGCAGTTACGAGTGGCGGTGCTGGTCAGTAGCATCTCACCCCAAAGGAAAATAAGCAATTGCATTCACTTTTCAGCGCGCTCCCTTTTGTGCTAACTGAATATGAAAATAAAATTTTGTGTCGTGACTTGCCTCAGAGGGCCTGCATGAAGATTTGCTATCTGATTTTTAAAGGAGTGATTTTTTGTTTGTTTGTTTAATCTCCGGTCAAGCCCTGTGTCTACTACTCTTAGGCTTACTTGGTTGTGTCGCTGTAGCTTGCAGATGTGCGCACGCCACTGAAATCGCAGCAACTGGTCTTGAGGGACCAGAACACCTGATTGAGAAATCTGGCTTTTTTTTTTTTTTTTTTTTTTTTTTCCAATCTGATCTTGTTTCATGCAGTAATCCGTTATGTGAATTTCACCAAAGTAGCTAATCAGTCTCATCCATCTCAAGAAACTGAGGTATCAGTTCTGTGAGTCTCCAGTGTTTTCTCTGCGTTACCCGTCGTGTCTTTGGTTTTCCTGAGTTCCCGGTCTGTTCGAGTGAACTCCTGCTCAGCAAGGCTGATGTGCCGAGCTTGGGCTCAGTTTGAAACAGCCCAAGTCTTGCTTTGCTTGACCTACAAAGTCTTAGTCCTGAGTTGGCGCCTTTGCTGATCCCCGCTGTGCTGGGAGGCTCCAGAGGCGGGTTGGCCGGGAGCCAGTGAAGGATGGTGAAAGGGGACAGGATGGTGGCTCGGACAGTGTGCTGGGTCGGGACGTAGCTCATGGAGACCAAGACTGAGAGCTGCTGCTCAGAAACCAGGCATTTCGTGTGCTACCGCATGCAGGCATTCGTTTTTCCCATCTGTAGTCAACGTTCGTGAAATAAGGATTCCTTCATGCTCAGTAAGATCACTTTCTCCTCCATAAAATCAGAAACATATTTTTTTTCAACTTTAACTGTGCCAAACCGGATATTTCCTGGAAGACTGGACATACAAATACGTATTTGTTAAGCTAATGTGCTTATGCTTGCAACAGCATGTGTGTCTATGTGCATTTGTTTGTGACAGAAAATGAACTGGTATTTTCTTTTGTTTGTTTGATTTTTGCAAGTGAGGAAGGAGATATCAGTATTGCAATTGCAGTAACGTTTTGGGTCTGCACAATTTGGATTGGATGGGAGATGTCCTTGTGTTTCAGCTCCATATTCCTTTTCGTCCTTTTTTTGTTCTTTTCCATTAAGTATAAAAACATATTTCTAATTGACATAAATTATTTAAGGGCAAACAGCACTGGGTTTTGTAGATGCAAAGGTGTACTGAAGTCAAACATGCTTTAGTGAGATCAGTACTTGCTTGTTGGAAACACCAGGAGAGTCACTGAGGCTGCTCAGTTCGTGCATTGGGAAGGTTTTTAGAGTGTTCCTTCAACTCTATTTTGAGCCTGTGCTTTCAGGCCCGTGGTGAATGATTCATTCTTGTTTTGCTCGTTATTGTTGGTCAGTCTGTGAGACTTTATGTAGTCTGAAGTATTGGTCCAGTAGGTACATCAATGTAAATTATTACTGCTAAGGAAATGAGTTACTTTTTCTCTACTTTTAACTGTCAGGAGAATTGTTTTGTTCAAATAGCGCTTGGAGCAAGGCAAGGCATCTGTGACCATGGTTAATTCTCAAATACGGTGCAAGCTGTGAGTCGCATCCCTACAGAAAAGAAAACCAGATTATTTAGGAGCGTATACCTTGTGGGAGTGTGTGATGTATTAGTGGCAAATCTGCCTATTTCATATTGAGTTAGTGTCTTTCGGTGTGTCAGCGTTTGCTGCCCATTTGCTTTTCCGTGCTATATTTTGTGGCTTTTGAATGCAGTAGAGCAAGAGGTAAAAAAGCCGATCCCAGCTTGTGAGAAAGCAATTTGTGTTAGAAACTGTGCTGAGGGTTCCAGTGGAGTTTGAGGATTTGTTGAGCTAGGTGCTCTTTAAAATCAAAATATCTCTTCTGACAGAGAAGATACGTCCTGATTCAGACAGAGCGGCGCTTGTGCTTGCACACTGGGCCCAGTGCAGACACTTTTTTGTTAAAACATACTCCTCTGTAGAAACAACCCAAAGCTCAAAAGCAGTACCTGTTGACTTGATAAAGTGGGCTATTTAATATCTATTAGGAACAGAAAAAATATGTAGGAAAATCTGCAGTTGAAAGCAAGATAATCACTCCAATTGCTGACTAGAATGAGGAAATGGGGAGTTCAACCTACACGTAGACCAGCATTGTGCAATACTCTATCCACTTTCTGGATAGAGTGTGGGATGGGAGAACGGCAGATTCGCCCTGTTTGCTGCGGGTTTCTTTTCCCTGCTGGATGTGTGAGAGCCACAGAGCAGCGGAACTGTGTGTGGAAGCTGGTTGTGCAGTGCAGCCCTCCTGCCGTCCTCGTGGTGACCAAGTGCAGGCAGAGCTGCCCTGCACCTACCCCAGGGGCTTGACCCCACACTCGGCACAGCCGGGGAAGGATGTACTGTAACGTCTGTGTTTTGGTTGCAGGTTTCCACACTGTTGTTTGTTTTGAAATGATAGGGCTTGGGAACAGCTGCCGAGGGATGAAGTCTCCACCTCTTCTCGTGGCTGCGCTCCTGGCATGTATCATTGTCTTGGGATTCAACTACTGGATCGCCAGCTCTCGCAGCGTGGATTTGCAGGTAACAGTCCCCCAGCAGCTCTGCGTGAGCTGCTTGCTTGCTTTAGGGTGGTCCATAAGCATGGTCCACAGCAAGAAGGCTGCCTACACCTGCGTGAGGTCAGCTGGAGCTTTGGGGGTTGTGGCAAGGGTCACTGCTACCACAGTTCTTCCGTAGCCATGGAGAAAGAAGGAGCAATGACTGTTTGTAAGGAGTGTGAGGGACCCCAAAGACTTGTGTGTGATGCTTCCATGCACCATGACCTTCCCACAAGGTGTTCAGCTGTTTTATGGTGCTTCAGTTTACAGTCAACTTCAGCTTGCAGACCTGGCAAATGCTGTCCTGTTGTTGTTCTTTTTTTTCTGTTCTTTTCTTTTCCCTCAATATACTGCAAATCAGCCCTTCATTTTCAATCTGAAGGGGCCTCTGCCTATTTGTCCATGTCCTTACCTTTTTTTCCTCGTATGACCCATTCTTGCTCAGTATAGAGTAAGATCAACTTCTTTCAGTATGCTGGGCAAACAAGGATGTGAGGTAACTCCTCCATGCACTCTCCACCAAGTAGAGGGAAAGCAGATGATTCAGGGTGTTTAACAATCTGAATTGATATTTCTTAGGAAACATTCCCAAGGAAAGTAAACAACATATGTGGGATAATATTTGATTAAGCAGGATTGACGAGTGGTACTTTTTTTTTTTCTGTTTTTTCCCTATGGAGTTAAAATTGCTTCCTCATAGTAGAATTGGATTTTGGACCTGATTTGACAACTATAGAAATCAAACTCCTGTTAAATCTCAGAGTTGGCAGTATTCAAGCAGTCCACATGTGTTTGCACATGCAGCTAAGAGCTACATGTCTCAGCTTTCCCTTGGTTGGAGGAGTTTGTCACCATCATCCTGAGACTTAGCTCATCTCCTGTTTTTCTTTCAGTCCCTGTCCTCAGAATAGGGCTGCCAGCTGTTCGTAGCTCTGTTGAGATGCTGAAGCTTTTCAGTGTAAGCATGTTGCAGCTGGTAGTGAGGGAAAAATCATTAGTGTGCCAGATTACATTCTTGCTCTCAGTAGCCCCAGGGCATAATGTCTTGTTCACAGTTATTGATTAATGGTGTTATATTGTATGGTTTCCCCCAAGTAAGCTTGAAAATCCTTTCCCTTCTGTGCTCCCAAAGTGTAATCATGCACTTTGAGTAAAGCGCAGCCCAAGATGCAAGCGGAATGTCTGAAGCCTTGTCAATAAGCTCATTTTTCTGGCAGGACTTTGCTGCTGTAATGACTACAACAGAGTTAAGTGTTCTTTCAGCTCTGCTGCAAATATTTCCCTTCCTTTTTTTCTTTTTTTTACCTCCTGCCCAGTGGCAGTGCTGCTGAGTAGACAGGCAGCAATGTGCCACGTAGTACCTAGTGTAGCAAGAGTTGATCCATTTTCACAGAGTTGTGGTAGATGCCATAGGTATTTATTATATCCAGTTTTTAATCTATCAGGAACTTCATGTTCTACCTGGATAAAATTGGATGATATTTTTTTCTCCCTAGTCATCTTTGTTTCTAATAATCTGAGGCTAAGAGAAAAACACTGATGGCTTTTTGGGAAAACGGAAAAGATCAATGTCATGCAAAAATTAAATTGATACATCAAAAAAGAAAAATAAGAAGAGCCTTAACCACATCTACTTTGATGCCTTTACATTATGTGTTTCTGTATTTGTGAATGCATCTGCAAGATAGTGTTGAATTTTCTTTTGCTTGACATTGCTCTTTGAACAATCAAGAGGAGGGAGACTTTCTCACTTAAAATGCATCCTTTGCATATGTATCTCTGTGTAACAGGCATGTGCGGTTAGTTTTATGCATAAAAGTGGGACAGAGTTGTCCTTCCTTAGTTTGTTTCCAAGTCTTGCAGGAAAACTTACTGACTTATTGAGATTCAGAGAGATTAATTTTATCTCTCTCTTAGTTAACGAAGTGCACTGGAAGTGCAGTGATATCAGAATCGCTTGCATGAGATATAGACAGGTTTTGATTTTGAACTGCTTTGAGGGGAAACAGTTTTTTCATTTATATATATATAAATATAACAAAATATATATGTTTAATATTTATATGTTTTTTAAATTCAACTATTTTTGAACTTTTTGTATTTCTCTTGAAATCTTTAATTGAAATTTTGATGGTCTGTACAGTACATAAACTAATGGCTGTTTGGGGTGTGTGAGTGACTGGCAGGTACAAGTACCTCAGGAAATTTTTTTGATGAAATTAGTACTGTTAGTTCCTTTATTTTCCCTGAAATGAAATGGTCCCAAAGGGCATTGGAGAAGGGATCAGCAAGAAGGAAGATAGATTCCCTCATTACCTGTTTCACTTGTCCCCATGGAGTTTGACTATGTTCTCCTTTTAATCAGTCACTCAAGAGAGCATTTGTACTTGTTTCTTACTGGCTGTTTTTCTCTCAGAATCAGGTCTTGGAACTGGAAGTCAGAGTGCGCAGAGCAGCAGCAGAGAGGGGCGCAGTTGAGCTGAAGAAGAACGAATTCCAAGGAGAGCTGGAGAAGCAGCGAGAGCAGATTGATAAAATCCAATCCTTACACAGCTTTCAGATGGAAAATGCCAACAAAGTATATCAGGAAGAGAAGGTAGGATTCCACTTACCCTAAGAGTGCAGCTTACCACTACAGTCTCTGCAGTGAAATACGGGTGCTTAAGTGTTCCAACTGGTGAGTTTGCAGTGGGTTTTTTTCATTGTTTTGCAATGTATAGTACATGTATTATTGCATAATATTTAGAAACTGAGTGTATATTGTGATCCTCTGGTGGTAAAAGACTTGTTCAGTGGTCCGCAATGGAGAAAAAAAGTTAACTGAAAAATGAGGGCTGAGGGAAAGAAGTGAAAGCATAAAGAACAAGCCAAAATCTAGATTTTTATGATTTCACTTCATAAACTTTTAAATATGCAGTATTAGGGACAGCATATCCTGTATTCCTGCTGTAGGTCATGAATACAAGTATCTTGGGTTGGCCTCTAGATTCTTCTCCTGTGGGCTAATGATTTAAAACTAAAGGAAAAGCAGAAGCTTTTGTGTGCCAACAGGTGTACTTGTTGGCATAAAAGATAATCTGTTTCTAAGTATATTGAAACTATATGGCCTTCTACTCCCCAGTCCTCCAAACCTAATAGTGTTTGGAGACATCCAAGTGAGTGGTAAAAAGTTTACCATTAGTTGATGGATTGCTGCTCAAAATGGGTAGTGCACAGTGTATCTTCTGTGTTAGAACTCTTGTAAATGAGTTGTACATAACTTAAAATTCATCTAAATGAAACATCCCCAGATGAATATTTAGAAATCTTGGTGAAGGAAAAGCACAATAAACATCAAAGTGGAAGTGTTTGACTGGAAGGCACATTAGCAGAATATATCTGTATTTTATTTTGAAAACACTTTCATCTGAATGCTCCAAAGAAGTAGTAAAAGCAATTCTTTTCACTTATTTTGTGGCAGGTGCATTTCTTTGATAATTTCCCTCTTCTCTTTGAATTCAGTCTCTGGGTACTCTTTAAAAAAAAGTGCATTTTATATGTTTATTTGGTTATTTTTACACTGAAAAGACACCCCTACATATTCAGACACGGTTCTGTGGAGTAATCAGGATTGTCTCTTCAGCCTCCTCCTTGTGAATGATGCTGCCTGGTTGTGAAGTGCTGTGGAAGTTGTTTATTGAAACTGCCATGTTTGTCTCCTGGAGTTTAGGTTGTGACTTCCAAGACTTTTGAGAAATTCTTTTTTCTGTTTTGGCAAAACAACAGAGAAACAATGTGGAATTGAATATTTCCTAATATTTGTTTTATTTACTTGTAATTTCTTTTTTTTTTTAAGAGGAGAGGAGAAATGCATTTTATGACTCCTCTCCATAGTAGATTTTCCTCTACTCTACTTCCTCCTCAGCTGTAGAAAGGTATTATACAGCACTGGAGTGTGGGAAGGAGGTGATGGTGCAGGGTAGCAGAGTGGACAGATGCCAGGAGCTCTCGTCATAAGAACTGGCCCAGGAGCTGGGCAGAAATTGCATGGAGGAAACGGAGTGTCGGCCAAGTGGGTGCGTAACCTTTTCCTTCAAATTGCTGTCAGGTGACGACTGGCTTGCACCAGTGGTGTATGCAGGTTTCTTTGTTTGTTTTGTTTGCTTTTTTGAAGGTTTCGGCTTTTAATGTTGTATTGTTTCAGGACCTGTTGGAACCGTCTTCACGTAGGCCTGACGCTAGGAGAATGCGATAAGCTGGGGAGAGTCTGAGCAGCTTCTGTAAAAGGAAATCCTGTGCTTGAGGTCTGAGGGAGTTTCCTTTTGGAAGAGCCAGTGATGAGGATAAGGGATAAGGATAATGAGTGTGCCCACACTTGGAGTGGCAAAAGGCCTCACACAAAAGGTTCTTGTGGAAATTACGTAACTGTGTAACAAAAGCCGGTGTTATCGCGGGGAAAAATAAGCAAACAAAAGTTATGAAACAATTTAGAAATAAAGTAGTATAGGTTTTGCCTGTGGGTAGGACACCGGTGAAGTTTTGGAGGGATGGAAGTGGCACATGGAGAGGACAAGAAGGATGACCTATGCAACGGAGCAGCTCTATGGAATCTGGAGCAGGAATCTGCTCCATGGGTTGCCAGCTCTTGGCCTGGATAAGAGGCATCTGAGGTGGAAGAGATGCCCGCAGTGCTGAGCGGTGTGAGGAGGGCAGGACACAGGAAGACCAGGAGAGAGGAGAAGTGGAAGGTGTTGGAGGAGACGAGGAACAGCAAGTCTCCACTTGCCATCAGGCATCCAGTGAAGGAAATCAGCAAGCAGTAGTTCAAACAAACAGAAGGAATGCTTTTTAAAATGCAGGTGTTTGGTATAATCTATGAAGTTTGCCTTTGAAACTCCAGAGGCCGGCACTGTAGGAAACATTAGATGAGCAGTGATTCAGTGGGGTCTTCCCTGCTTCCTCTCTGCTGCTTTCTGTGGTTGGGAAGGAGCACATCTGAGGAGACTGAAGTAGCAGGATGAACATGTCTGTCTGTCTGTCTGCGCACGGTTTCATGGCAAATTAAAGCTTACTCTTTGGCTACAGGTCAGAAAAAAAAAAACCCCACAGGTGTTTGTTTTCCAGCTCTGCAATTTGAAAGTAGAGGTAGTTGGTTTTATGAGAACCTGTGTATTTTAAAAGACTTTGTCAAAAGACACTGTTGACCAAGTTGGCCTAGATTCATCCACTCCAAAATAGGGTTGCCCCTCATATGGGAAGAGAGGGAGAAGCTTAGTTTTATTAACCAAGAACTTTTATATGAAGAAGCTCTGTATGAGTAGTGGTTATTTCACAACTGGATGAAGAATATATGAAAAAACTGCCTGCCTGCATGCCATTGTGTGTGTTTGTTCATGTGTTCATGTATGTATCTGTCTAAGAGTATACATGCTCATAGACACGTAAGTATATATTCTACAGCGTTTTGCTGCATAGATTCCAGTGGAATCTTGAATTTCTGAGGGAAAAGTACTGAAAATGACGTGTTCTGGTTACAGGAAAATGAGTCCTTAAATGGAACTGTTAATCCCCAAGGGAGAAATGATGGCAAATACTTATTGGGTCCAGGAGACTAGATAAGTAGTCTTACTACTTAACCAAACCCTAGGTCTTTTGGCAGTGTTTCCATGTAATAGAGCTCTTCCAGGGTAAATAGGTCTTTGAATGATAGAAGAGGTTTTGTTTAACTTATATCATTATTGCCCTTAACAAAGAAAAATGAAAGTATATTCCACTGATATGTAGGAGCGAATGGTTTGCCTGTGAAAAACTCTTCAGAGAGAAATACTGTTGATTGAGAAGCCTATAAGCAAACAAACCTTCGCAGTCTAGAGGACTTTGTACTAAAAGTAGTCCTCAAGGAACATTCAAGACTGATATTAATTACAGTTCTTCACTCTTCACTGTATCTTATTTAACTCATCTGCCAACAAAATGCAGAATAATTATGCTTGATTTCATTTAATACCGAAACAATACATGAATGAAATACAGGTTAAAGTCAATCTCAGTGGCAATGTGACAACCGTGGCTTCATTTCATGGTAAAACTGTCTCTCTGCCACAGTAGGAACAGGGGTGAAGGGGTTGGGAGAGAGATGGAGCCTGAAACACCCCATGGTCTCTCCATTCGTTCAGGTGATGTAATCCTGGGAAATTACTGCCTTAATTGTACTCTTAGATCTGGAAATGTATCAAGCATGTTGATCACCAGTCTATTTTTAAAAATCGTGTTTGAGTTTTTGAGGATTAATGTAGCTTTAGCAAATAGCTTCTAGCAAAAAATCTGTAGCAAAGGAGGCTGAGCAGGTCAGGAGAGTTTACGTGTAAGGACAGATAAGGAATTGGAAGTGCACAAGGGATGTTTCCAGTCTTTGAACAATTTTCTAAAGGAGAACCGTGTCCTTTCTGGTTGTTGTTCATGACCCACAGCTTCTGGTGTGGGTCACATCACAGCCAGCACGGTAGCCTGGTTGAAAACTAACTGGAGAACAGCCCGTGCCTTATTTTCCTTTGCTGTTGGAACATGCCTGTGCAGTTTGTCGTTTTCTTTGGCTGCGGGTGATTTCCCAGCCCGGGTCAGGTTTCAGCTCCGTGAGGGCCTTGGCACGTGGTGTGTGGGATACGTCAGCGCCGTGTTGCTCACCCTCCTGAGCCGCGTCCACAGCCGCTCTCAAATTGCCCCTCAAAATAGCGGTTCGCAGGGTCAACTCTGCTCCAAGAGAGCCGCAGAAGTTGGGGAGAGAGAAAACCTGTGGTGAAGAGGAGGACAAGTGCCAGTGGGTGTCCTGCTTTTAGCTGCCAACCAACGCTGTTGCATCTCCCGGTTAGTTTTGAGGAGACTTGAAGGAAAAAACAAGTCCATTTCTACCTGCTACAACTGCCCTATTTGCAGTAATGTGATGTTTCTAAACTAGCTTTTGCACATTACTGATACAGTAGAGATATAGAAGACTATCTTTTACTTCTTATGTTTTTAAAATGTGTTTTATATATCTGCTGGAGTTGAGAATAGCTAACCTAGACACCTAGGCTAACCCCTAGGTAAACTCTGAGGGCCACCGTAAGGGTGGAGACTGGAGTATGTGTAGTTTAACAGCAAACTATTGAAATATTGCTGCCTCTATTCAGAGCTAAATGAATTTACAACATAAAAAGGCAGAAAGTATATTGTGAAGCTGCAAGTGGTTGATGGTCAGGATTTTTCTGCCACGTGACTGTTCTGTTTGCGGTGCCAGGTGCCTGGTCTTTAATTAAACACTGTGGTGAGAACCCTGCGGCCATGGGGGCCGCATTGCTCCCACCTGCTTGTGGGCGGCCTCTCTGCTCGGTTTGGGCTGGTACCGGGGTGCTCTGGGCTCCTCTGCTGAGAGCCAGCAAGCGCGGGGAGCCGGGATAGCCCTGGGCAGCATGGACAGCTTCTGCAGTGCCAAGGGAGCCGCGCTCTGCTGTCCTGCAGCCCGGCGGGGTCACAGAATCACAGGATGGTGGAGCTTGGAAGGGACCTCCAGAGATCATCTAGTCCAACCTGTCTGCTCCAGCAGGGACACCCAGAGCACGGGGCACAGGGCGGCATCCAGGTGGGTTGGGAAGATCTCCAGAGAAGGAGACTCCACAGCCTCCCTGGGCAGCCTGTGCCAGGGCTCTGTCACCCTCACAGGGAAGAAGTTCCTCCTCACATGGAGATGGAACTGCCTGTGTTTCAAATTGTTCTCATTACCCCTTGTCCTGTCACTGGCCACCCCCAAGAAGAGCTTGGCCCCTTCTTCTCCACATTCTCCCCTCAGGTACTTATATCTGTTGATCAGATCCCCTCTCAGCCTTCTCTTCTCCAAGCTGAACAGGCCCAGCTCTCTCAGTCTCTCCTCATATGAGAGATGTTCCAGTCCCTTAATCATTGTCACTCTACATTGAACCCTCTCCAGAAGCTCCACGTCCCTCTTGTCCTGGGGAGCCCAGAGCTGCCCCCAATACTCCAGGTGCCGCCTCCCCACACCTGAGGAGAGAGGCAGGATCCCCTACAGATTAGGAGGTCGAGTACTAATCTGTCCTGGTGCCCGGGGTTATTCCTCCCCAGGTGCAGGACCCTGCTCTTGTCCTTGTGATGCGAAGGCAGGGAGCCTGGGTTGCCTTCAGCTGAAGCTGCAGTAGCAGATCATGCCCTAAACCTTTACCGTGGCCAATACGTGGGAACAGAAATGTTCCTTTTACATTCTTTTCCCTTTATTGAGGTGAACAGTTCATAATTTGTAAGTGGAAATCACTTCAGTGGAAAATGGAAGGATTAAAATAAACAGGCTTCTCTGTTTATTTCTCTGCTGTGTTCTGCACCTGTGTTCTGAGGACAGGCTTCCTGGTTGATATTCCTGTTTTTTAACAGTACCTGTAGCGTTTTTCCTTGCAAGGCAGAAAATGACTTGTGCAGACATGCTCTATGGTAAAGAAATAAATATATCTCCAGCAGTTCTCCTTAAAACAACTGCCCTACAGCCAGAGCAAGTTTTTTTTTGTCCCTGCTGATGATAATTCGGGTTTTGATCTGACTGCTATTGCTGTCTGCAACATTGACTCCAATCTGGAGAGCGAATTTTCCTCTCTGATAGTCAGGATGTGCTGGCAAATTTGATAATCTGGTTCAATGTTACAGAGTTGTTTCCGTACTGTAAGAGATCACAATGTGGTAGAGCGATATACTGACTTTCCAGAAGCTGAGTTCTCACTCCCAGGGACTTCAGGTCTTGTTTTGTAGACAGAAGGAGGTTTCAAATCTACATTGGCTCTGGGATCTGAGTTTTGCCTTGCATTTGCTGTCTGCTTTCCTGCAGTCTGCTCTCTCCACCTGCAAAAAAATGGGGAAAAGTAGTAACTACTTACCTCGCAGCCATGAGGTGAAGCTTAGTTAATGTTTGTGTAGCAAGTGGAAGAATGGAAAACTCTAAGTCATTAATATAGTCAGATCGGAAAACAGGAGTAGGAAAACTGCCCTGTAAATTATTAAGCTCTGGATAAAAAGCTGAGTAGCTTTTCATGATCCCTTCATGGCCTTTTAGTCTCAAATGCAGGACAGTATGAAGGAGGTGGTGCGGTGTTCTCAAAGGAAATTTTTGTAGGCAGACAGTAAAGAGCAAGGTTGGTGGGTTTTATTATTTTTTTCTTTTCGAGTGTCCAAATGTCAGATATTTTTTCTCTGCTTTAGATAGTAAGGATCATTAGTATCCTAAAATGCAAAAATACTTGAAGCTATTCATTTTATTGTCCAAATGAATGGTCTCAGTACTCATGGATTTCAGAAATTACATGGGGATGTAAAATTGCAGTGTCATCTGTAAGGCTTGTTTTAATGCAGTGGTGGTTTCTGGTCATGGCCAGGATTATCTAATCCCAATACAGGAAATCCTGAGGGTGATAAGCTCGGTGTTTGTTACCGACTGCATTGCTCAGGCACTAGCAAAACACAGCACTGACACCAAAATGGCAACTTCCTTTCTCCAATAAACTAATGAAAACAAATAGAATATTTTCCCCTTTCTGTGAGGAAGGAGAGGGAGTGTTGTTAATCTCATTAATGTTGTTAATGTTAGCTAAAACAAAGAAGCAAAGCTTTTGCCCTGTACATTTCAGAGTTCACTGGCCTTGTGTGCACGCGAATGTTTCATTTTACTAGATTGGAAATGGCTGCTGCTTCATCGAGATATGAGGGACTGTTTCTGTGAATTGGGACTTTTTCAAGGATAAATAAAGGACAAATCCGCTTTCCTCCTCTGGGTCGATGTGCTTGTATTAATCGAATGATTTCCTACTCATAATCAATTGGCACTAATTAGACCACAGGGTCTGCATGAGAATTGGCGCTAGCTCACAGCGTGGTCTGTGTCTGCCTGACCTGAGCAAGCGGCATAAACGGAGGCGTTTCATTGTGTGTTAAAGTGAAGTGGGCCCAGGTATGCTCTGGCACTTGAGCAGAAGCTTAGGGAAACTGAGGACCCGATGTCAGGGCCCTGCAGAATATTGGGGTTTCTTGTGGAAGGATGGCTGGGAAGGCATAATTGCCATGAAGAATAAGGAATGCGTGTGGAACTGTATCAGCTCTGAAGGGCCAGTTATCTTTTTTTGTAGCTTTCGGAAGAATCTTCCGCGCTTCCTGAACGCTGTGTGTATGTGAATCAGAATTGTCCCGGTGTTTGGCCCGGGGGTGTTGTTTCCATTTCGACTTGTTTTGGTCGCGAGCGTGTCCATGTGTCCCGGTGTCCGCGCACGCGGGTGGGTGACAGGGCAGCGGGGCCGCAGGGGACCCAGCACGTTCACACGTTGGCGCCCCGTCGGAGGCAGGCATAGGATAACTGGGAATAGGGATGTGTTTATGGTGACACAGGGCTCAGCTGCGGTGCGCCTGGGCTGCGCCTCGTGGCGCGATACCTCCTCTTCGCATCCCGGGATTAAATACATGGATTCCGCCGCGGGAGAACGGCCAGTGACGTGAGCTGCCCTGTCCTGTGGGGCCAGCTTGGTAAGGACAGTGGTGAATACAGACTCTGTTGGTGAGCATGGGGTTAAAGGAGAGCAGAGCAGCAAGCCGTTCTAGCTGCGGCTCACTGAATTCCTGGCCTTTTCGTTTAAGAGCAATGACATTTGATTTTTTATTTTATATATACATATATATGGTTCCCTGTTAAGTCTGAGTGTCTGGGTAACAAGCACTAGAATGAGAATTTGTTATTTGTAGTAGTAAGTCTTTACAGCAGCTAATGCAGTTTTTATTTGGCTTTAATCCGTCACCTCTTTGTGAGGAAAAGTCTTTTTACAAGTACTTTGGTCGGTATTTTTTATAATATTAGTATTTCCCCCTTTGCACATAAAACATTGTTTTCTTTCTTTCTCTTCTTAGGCAACACTGATGAATAACATCACAACAAATGAGCGATTGATCCACACTCTACAAGGTAAGTCTTTAAAAACAATTCTGCGTCACTTTTGTATTGGATCTTTAGACTTCTTTTTAAAATTTGTGTTAGCTGGAGTTAATTTTTGTTAATTGACTTAGACCCTGTGTGTGCCCAGAGTTCAACTACCCTGCTGGATTCCTGATTTTTAGCTACTAATGGAAAATAATATGAAATAAAAATTCATTTATGTATTGTTAATATGTTTATTTTTCACTTTACTTTTTGTATTGCACTTTTGTATTCTTACCCCATGTGGCAGGGTTGTAGATTTTGGCACTAGGCAAATTTGCAAACATTTCTGAACATTAATTTCTATTTGTGTTAGTACTTCAAAAATTACTAGTAGCAATTTATGCCTCCGAAGTCTGGAGGAACTGGCTGTTAAGTTCTGTAAGCTGCTTAATATGCTGTTAGTTCTTCTGCTGCGCTCACACAAAGCTTTCTGTCAGAAACAAGGAAATCCACTAGGATCCACAGCATGATGGATGAGGTTTCAAAACAACAACAAAAAAACGGTTGGTGTTTGAGAAGCATAGCTGTGAATCACATATTATTCAAGGAAGAATTCTGAGTTTGTCTTTAATAACACAGGAATGGCATTTCAGACTGTGTTGCAGCTAGTCTCTCACAGACATTAAGACTTCCTGGGCTGGACCCCAGGAGAGCCAGAAGTTACAAATAAGCAGGAGTATTCCTCAAGGAGAAAAGGGGGTCAAATTCCAGGTGTATGCAGTTTTTGTTAGCTTGTGTTAGACTGGAAAACTTCCTGATCCTGAACAATGCACGTGATAAATCACGTGCATTGTCTGGATGGATGTAGTTGAAGTGTGCTTGCTATCAGACCTGTTATCTGACGTTTCCATTGTGGTGAAAAAAAATGTGTTTTTTTTAATCCTGTTTTTATCAGATCATTTGAAGGAGCTACAGACAGAATACGGAAAGCTGCAGCTGGATGTTTACCGGTTTCAGAAGAACCAAACGAACCTTCAGAGAAAGTTCTCGTATGATCTGTGAGTTTGTTCTTTTTTAACAGTGGCATCTAGAGTTGTAGTTGACTTAAGGTTTAGGACCTTAAATGTTTTGTGTTAGCTGAAGTGTCCCATGTAAGGTTATAGTTTAAGACAAAAATGATGCATGATGCTTTGGGTTTTTTTTTTATTTTTTATTTCATTTATTTTTGAAAAAGAGAATATAATTGTATTTCCCTGTAGACTTTTAGTCCTTGAAGTCCCCAGCATCTTGGCATCCATTGACTTCTCCGACACTTTTTTTGATGTTCCTTTGATTGAAGAAAGAGAAAAGATACCCATTTTAGAGATGGGGGGAAAATGGGACACGAAGAGATCTGGAAAAGCTTAGGCACCAGGATACCGGAATATCCTTTGGGAAGCTCTGCTGCATCCATCTGCATCCATTGAGTTGCCAGAGGTCACACAGCAAGTTTCTGGTAGAGCTGAGTTTAGACCTTGCCCTTCTGCTTTCCCATCCATACCTGGTCACATTTTTTAAAAGAAATTTCCCACTGAATTGTAAGTCATGGATTGCTGAACAAAAGCGCTTATTAGTATTCCTGCATTAAATACAGATTTCTGATATTTCTAGGATTTTTTTTCTTGTTTCTTTCTGCCTTTTCAAACTGCTCAAAATTTTTCTTCTTCCTCCTCTTCCTATTATATCTTCCCTCTGACACACAGATATACGTTCTTAGCCTATACGATTTTAAGGGTTTTTTTTGTGCTCTCTTAATAATTTTCTGTGAATAATACAATTGTTCCACTGGCATTTATTTTTAATAGCAGTGACTTTTTATTCTTTTTTTTAAAGAATTCTAGCTTAAAAACTCAACATGGCAATCACAAAAAGGTTTAATTCTGCAGACCAAACTTGGAATATTTTTTCCTAACTTAAGAATTAAAGATTATTAAGGATACTTACCAGCTACTGGTTCATTGAGTACTTCTTTTTTAAAAACACATCACTACTTTTTTAATCTTGATGACCCAGACAGAGTTCTAAAAGTTTAGGACTTCTAACAAGAAAGGAAGTCAAAGGCCTGAGTTTGCCCAGGGGTTCTGTTAAGCCGTGTTGCACTTACAGGTCTGCTAGAGGACCGGGTTTCTCTCAGTTACGCTGTGGTTGTCGGTGTGTGTCCTTGCCGTAGGGGTGAAGGACGGGACGCCTGCTCCTCCAGCGGTTCCCTGCCTCCTGGTGAGGAACATCTGTTTGCCGGCGTCCAGCCCTGCAGGGCTGCGGGGTGATCGTGCTGCCCAGGGGCCGTGCTCTGCACGGGGGGTGAGCCCTGCAAGCGCTGCGTGTCTCTGTTTCCTTCGGTCAGGGTAGGTGCAGAGGCAGGAGAGGTAATTCAGCATGCTGTTGGCTGAACGACTAGCTTTTCTGTCCTGAGGCAGATGCAATAAACGCTTAAGCTTAATTACTGTTCAGGTGAATAAAACTTAAATGATTGTTTTCTATTTCTAGATTTTATGGCTATGCAAGTAAGGAAAACACAGTTGGCGCTGAGACTTCTATGGTGTATTTCGTAGCTTGTAGCAGAGCCCTCTAGCTCTCTTACAGTTCCAGCAGGAACGTGTATATGTATGTTTTTTGATAGCTCTGGCTGTATGTTTGAGGAGATCTTGGAACGTTAACATTTCATTAATGTAACTTAATATTGCCTTCTGATAAGCGTGCAGTCGTACCCCAGAATGTTCTTGGTGGAACATGGTCTCTGCTTATTTTGTTGTTTTGTTACTAAATGAAACTTAATGCTTCTTTTAAAGACTTGAGTGATCTCTTTTCCTCCCCAGTTACAGGGCTCGCAAACCAAACGTCGTTACAAAGGCATCCACATTCACATTGCGCTTATCTTTTGTGAAGGCGCTCGCGGTTGTCCAGAGTGCTGGGCAGGAGCCCCTCGTCCTGCCCGCCCTGCCCGGGGGCAGCCCTGGGCAGCCGCCTCCTTCCAGCTCCGTCCCCTCCCCTCCGCTGCCCTCGGAGGGGAGATTCAGCACGCCTTGAGTATTCCCCTGCACTTGGGTTCCTGGGAGGTTTTGTTTCCTTTCTCTCTGCCATCTTCTTTGGAAATGCTGTTTCCTGCAGCAAGTTCAATAGTTAGATTAGGGTTTGCAGTCCTGCTAAGTGTAAGAGTGTGAGTGAAAGAATCGCTTCTTTGGCATATGTACAAAGAGTTGTTGGTGGTACATATTCCTGATGGACAAAGTTACTCTGTTTTCATTACTGAATCATGAGATAGGTAAAACAAGCTACAGAGACTGAATTTGAGGAGTGCTGCTTTTGCCTGTTTGGAGTATGTTGCACGGATGGGATAATGTGGAGAAACCAGCGCTGTTCTTACGCTTCAGGTTTTTGTATGCATGAACAGAGTGTCTTTATCTCCAGAATTCCTGTCTTACTAGGAGGAAATTCCTACATAGCTAGTAAAATCAACATTAATTTGTCACAGATGTTATGTGAACTTTATTTTCATGTGCAGTATGGGAGGAAAGAGCACTTACAAATGCTTGCTCTCTGCAACTTTAACTTTGCGCTGATTGTCCCTCTTTCTGCAGATCCCAAACTGAGGTACAGGCAATTTTAATTTCCTTAGTTTCCAAGATATCAATGAATGTATACATAACCCAAGCCTTTATTTTTCAGTCTCTTGATATTTGCCAACTCAGGATTCACTGTTTATTTTGATGACTCTTCAATGTTAGCAAAATCAGGTATTAAAATAGCATGTTACAAGGCTATGAAATGGAAGAAACAATAATAAGAGTAACTCGCAGCTGATAGCCCACCTGTCAAACACTCCTTTTCCTTTCCAGATGTGACCTGCAGAGCAAACCCTTTCCTGTGTGAAGGAGGGGTGGCTGAGAGTGCTAATGCAGTGCAGGTGAATGGCGTGCTGCCATCCCTCACGACACCTTGCCCAAGAGTTCCTCGGATTATTTGCAGCCTGAGGAACTGGTCTGTCCCCATCTAAACCAGCTGTTGTCACACAATAGGGAGAATTGATATGACACAGATGGGCTGGGAAATTAATCCTGCTTCCTCAGTGGTGGGGGGATAAAACTTGCAAGGTGTTGACAGTGTTGCTGTACAGCTCATGTGGAGGAGGTTCTCCATGTGCAAAGACAGGTTTCTGGGATTCGCATCTTCTGGCATGCAAGTTATTCCAAGTTATGTTTGGGGAGGGGACAAAAATGTGAGAGAAAGAAAGAAAAGGGTGAGAAAACCCCTTGCCACAGCTGGGAGGGGAAGTGGTGTTGTCTCCAGGCCCAGCCCCTATACAGGCACTCTGCGCAGCACCGTGGGTGCTGCCGATGGGGATGGTGATATTTGCTTCACCGTGTTTTCCTCTAGTGTGATGCGTTTCTCACTGGAACCTACTCAAACCCTCTAGTTATTATTCCTGTTCATGATGGGACCAAAACACCCATACAAACCCTCTAGTTGCTGTTGCTGTTCATGATGGGACCAAAACATCCACAGGGGTGTATGCCGACTGCTTGCTGAGGGTTGTGCATGAGTGTTACTCTAAGTGCTTGACTGGTTTATTTGCTAGTCTTGCTTTTCTTTGGATATCAAACAAGAACAGGTAGGGAGCGGGTGGGGAAGAAGGGTGGTCTCAGTGCCCGACTGGTGTCGGTCACTTCCCATGGAACCCCCGGCATGGGGAGGCGCCAGGCGGGGAGGTGGCTGCGAGCGGAGCTGGAGGCTCCGGAGGAGGGCGGATGGTGCCGAGGAGGAGGGCAGAGCTGCCGGGGAAGGGGCTCCAGCGGCCGGGGAGGAAGGCACCAGCAGCCGGTGCGAAGGCGCTGGGGTCGTGGAGGGTAAAAGGCCCCTGTGGCCCTGTGCCACAGCAGCAAAGGGTGTAAGATAGTAAACACTTCAGGCAATATTCCTCCTGCAGCCTATCATAGCCACTGATGAACTCTGTTTCTCTTACGTAATGTTTCTTAATATTTTCCAACGCTGCCCTTTGTGGTAAAATATTAAGTGAGAGTGTTTCTTGGCTAACAGTAACTTGCCTCTAGTTACCATAAAAGTGGCTCTGAACCAGCTCACTTCTTCCATCTAAAAGCAAAATCTTTTTTTTTCTTTTCTCACAGCAGAAATACTTCAAGAGTTGGAACTGTTTTTTGACTTAACTTAAATAAGCTGGTTAATACAAGGCGAGAAAACTCACATAGCTTGATGAATTGGTCTGATAAAAGCACCTGCTGTTATTTTTTCTAATGGAAGTTGGACCACCTGCATGTTAGATTTGTCTTAGTGTTTAGGTTAACACTCCTTTTTCTTTGCTGTCCTTTGAAGGCTAAGTGCAGGAAAGGAAAAAAAAGGTTTATGGAAACTTTCAGAAGAGTATTTCTCTTTATTTTACAGGTATGGGTAAAACAATAACTCTTAACTTTTTCATGTTTCCTCCAGGTCACAATGCATTAATCAGATGAAAGAATTAAAAGAACAATGTGAAGAAAGAATAAGTGAGCTTACAAAAAAGAGCAATGATGTACCAAAGGACAGAGAAAACAAGGAAGCCTCAGAAGATTCCAAGAAGAATCCCCAGGTAAGGTGTAGAAAACTTCTAAAAATCTTTTCCTGTGGAGTTCTTAAAGGGCTCTCCTTCCTTCCATCCCCAGCTAGCATCACTCTGTCTTGCTGCATTTCGTAAAGCTTTCATTCACATTTGTTGGATGTTTCTGATTTGTGTGAAACTGAAAGATTTGAAGGTGCGAAACAGGCGTGAAGACTGCTCTCCAAATTACTGTGACACTGAGAGAAGGGCAGAGTTGGAGAGGTGGTGCTAGGAGCGCTGAAGAGTCTGGTCAGGTGAAGTTACACCTCTGAACACTGGCCCACAGCTCATTTTGACCTTGTTAAAGGAGCTAGTTGTTTTGTATTTACAGGTGCAAGTTAAATATGAGGACAAATTCAGTACGAATCAGTTCAGAGTAGCAGCAAGGCTTGAGTATAAAACACTATAATCCATAGGTCTTTACTAGGCATCACTTAAACATTCAGCAGAAAAGGCAATTTCAGACTTGTAAGGTGGGAGCAAGGGGAAGGTTGAACGTTTTGCTTTACAGTTTTGTCTGTGCTGGGCTGACCTGCCCAGGGTGAGGGCACTGCAGTGGGTAGCATGAGAAGTGTCCCTGGAGCAGGGCTGGCTGCCGGTGTGGTGGCCGTGTGCCAGCCGCTCTCCTTCCTGTGGTGTGCAGGGCGAGAGGGACCCTCAGGAAAAATAAACTACAGGTCACCCTGCTGTCCTGGTGTGGTGACCACTGATGATGCTGCCACTGCTGATGGCAGTGAAGTGGGGTTGGGGATAGGTTATGTTTGCTGCTGAGGGCACTGGCAAGGGGCAGTGAAGCCCCTGGCAGAACACGATGAACTTACTTATGTGAATTTACCTGAACTTACCAAACTGTTGTGTCCTTAGGACTGTGTGCAGCTGTGACGGAACTTTTCTGGTAGTGTGCACATGCCCTGTATCCTTTAGTTAGGAAAATGTTAACAGAAGGAGCATTTCATGCCTTCGTAAATGGAAATGGTAAATAGAGTTGAAGCTATTTTTGCGAATATAGAAGTGTCTGAAGGATCATCCTCCTTCCAGGATGGTTCCATGATGGTTGCCTTGTTTGTTCCAGTCTGTGTCTGTTCTGTTCCTCCCCTACAAACCTCTTACGGTGGGAGAGGAGCTGCTGAAGTGGAACCAGGGCAGGTCTGAAGCACCACATGCTGCTGCTAGAGTAGGCAGCAGTGAGAGCTTGGCTCTCTGAGACAGCAAACAAATAAATACAGCATGGGGGCAGGAAGAATAGTCGTTTATCCCTTCAGAAAGAAGTGAAGGCTCCTGTTGTCCAACTGGCTTTTTCTTTTTTTTTTCTTTTTTTTTCATATCACTATATCATGAAAGTAGTCAGTGATTTAAAAGGCAAATGGCAGAATTAAAATAAATCTGAGAAAAAAAAGATGTTGGTTAATAAATGCTCAGTTAATTCTTGTAGCTCTCTCCTGTGGAGGTGTATACCCCTCGGTTGAGGAGTACACAGTATGTTCATTCATCCCCTGCAGCTTCCAGTAATTATCTTTTTTATCCAAAGGACAAATGACATCACCGTAAAGTTTTTCAGCATATGCTCTACTAGCTTGACACTGTCAGTAAGAATTGTTGAGCTGGGTGTTTAAAATAGAGTAAGTTAAGGATTCTTCATGTTTGTTTAAAAGGCAGGATGTCTTGAAGTGCAGGACCAGTATTTTTACAGAGCAATTCATGCCCCAGTTTAGTGAGAAATACTATATGTTTTTCTTTTACTGTAGAGAGTGACTTCAAGAGCGCCAGCTATTTATAAGAAGGCATTTATTTAAATATAACATTTCTTTTGTATTAATGACTGAAGGGAGATTGTGAAAAACCAACAAAATAGTTTGTGGCAGTGTGTAAGCCAGCTTCCCTCCTTTTCATATAGGTAAGTCAATGTTAGATTACCTGTTATTGTTGCACTGGGTGAGGGTCACCTAACAAGCTCTTCAGTTCTGCCTGTTTCTTGCCAAGTTTAAACATTTTCAGAATAACCAGGTACACACATCCTGCAGTATCTTCGCAGTTTTATCTTCTTAATTATTCAATAGTTTTGTTCTGCAGACGTGCTTGCAAACAGCCCTGTGTTCTGTTGACCTGCTTAGGGCAACTTCTCGTGCCATACGGTTTCCTGTTCATTGATAGTCTCAAGTGTAGGCATGCTCACGGTTCCTCAAGCCCGTGTCCTTGTCCCCTCCACATCCTTCGTGGAAATGAACCACACAACACAAGCAGCTTCACTGCCCTGTTTGAGCTGAAATGGGCGCAGAGCAGCAGCGGCTCCAGGCACCATTTCACGTTCTGTGTTTGCACTCTCAGACAGTTAGAGAATTGCCAAATGAGTTACTTGCACGTAAAACTTCAGCTGCAGAACTGGGAGGGCACTGGAAGCTGGTGCTCATGTTCACCATCGATCCTGAGGCGCTCACAGCGGTGAGGCTCTGAGAGCAGGCCAGCACTAGTGCTCAGTAAGTTCTTAAGCGAGCTACATCATGTTAAACGACACGGATTTGGTTGTCTGCTGGTGTTTTTTTATTGTTGGATGGTTGTTTTGTTCAATCTTTTCTTCCCCTAAGCCTGCATTCAGCGTAGCTTTGGGCTTGCTCCGTGCGCCCTTGGTCATCTGAGGCCTGATGGTGCCCAGCCCTAGCCATGTCTCCGCAGGCTGATGGATACGAGTCAGCAGGGTATCCATGTGCAGGATGGCTTTGCTGGCCGGGAAGCGCTGGGAGTTCCCCTGGCGCTGCCGGAGCTGTCACTGCTAGAGCTGCAGAAAGGGGCACAGGAGCATCAGCATCACCCTTGGCTGCCCTCGGATGGACACTTACTAGGGAAAGCGAGTTAAGTTCTCCCATGTGTGTAATTCCCCCGCAACGTGCACGCACAGGAGCGTGTGCTCCTTCCACCCCCAATACAGAGCTCGGCTGAAATGTTTCTGAGTGAGCAGGCACATTTTGCCCTCGAATATTGGTATGACTTTCACTACCAAAGCCTGTGTGTTGACACCGTTGACTCTCTGTGTGCATTCCCTTTGTAGGTTAATGCTCAGCTGCCCACCTTTAAGCAAGGGGAGTTCCAGCAGACTGTTGTGGAAAAGCCGAAGGCTGATGGAGACCTACCCAGAGTAGCACCTACAGCAAGAAGGGCAGACTCTCCTCAACCTAAAGGTGGGATGGAAATCATCGGCATGCTGATAGCAACTCGAGTAATAGGGCTTGAAATTGAATTGGACATTCTTCAGAAAAAGATGTGTATATAAGATGAAAATGGAAAAAAAAATACACCAGTAGACTTAATTATAGTCAAATTTCCCTGAATTACGGAGAGATATGACTAATTATCTGTTCTGTTCAAGGATTTTTATTACCAGGGTTAATAATGCCTCAATCATGTGTTTCAACTAACATGTTTTGCATGTGAAGGAAAAGAAAAACATTTAAAAGTCTGTAGACAAATTCCTGCTTTACTATGAAGAAAATATCTTGCTTTTGAAAGGACGGAATTCTAAAAACCTTTGAAATTTGCTTGAGTCTGACACAGTCAGTACCCCACCCATGCATAAAGGATAGCTGAAAGTCAGACCTTAACCACACTTTCCTGCCTTGCTTACGTTGTCGCTGGGTAGAATGCCAGTAAAAGAAATGACATCGGATGAGATCACCTAATAGTTGGTGTGGTCTTAAACTCTGAGGAACTGTTCATTTGAATGGGTGGCTACTACTACCTCCGTCTTGCATAGTACCCTGTGTGTTAGAAATTCAGTTCCTCTTTATTTTAATGTGCTACCTTGAATTACAGTCTTGGCAGTACTGAAGCTCTCGTTTTGGAAAAATAACTGTTCAAGACAGCATCTTTGTGTAGTTTCTTCAGGCAAATTGTATCCTGATGTAATTTAGTTAAAAATATGGATACACAGAAAGAAGGATGTGGTAGCGTTGCTGAACACAACAGGCTTCTTGCGCTGCATCTCCACATTTAAAAATAAGCCCAGCTTTGTTATACTTGTGAAATTGCCCATGCAACTGCTTTGCTCTAAACTATTTGTGAACACCAAATTGGTGGTTTCGTTGTTAACAAAATGCAACATTTAATTACTGAAACCTCTTTTTTTCATACATCTAATGCTGTGATAGAAGATACATACATAGAATATCAGTTTTGAATTTAAAAATTTCTATTTCATGTGCCCAATTTATTAACTGTATCAAAATTTTAAGTAGGCAGAAGTTATTCCATTGATAATGAACAAAACCACAGTAGTCCTTAGTCTCTAGCGTGAAAATGGGACGTGTCTTTCTGTGCCTTTCTCTTCGGAACTGGTGTGACTGAAAGATGTCCCTTCAGAGGAGAAAGGGGTGTTGAATGAGAGGGAGGGAGGTGAGCACTTATGTAAGGTTTCCAGCTCGTGCTGGCCCCGGGGGCAGCGCGCTTTGCACTCAGAGTGTCTCCGCTTGCCCGCAGATGCCGGCCCTGTCGTGGTCGGGAAGCGGGCGCCGGGCGCGGCGGAGGCGGAGGCGGCCCCTGCGAGCGCGCCCGGGCCGCAGCCCCGCCACGGCTCGCCCGCGGCCTCCGCACGCCCCGCCGAGGCCAAGGGCGGAGCGGGCCGCGAGGCCGCGGCGCCCACCGCAAAGCACCGCGACGGCGGCAACGGCCACAACGGCGACGGCGGCAACAATGGCGGTGACGACGAGGTGGAGCGGGAGCAGCTCCTTGGCTACGACGGCCGGCAGGGGGACCCGCGCGCTGAGGAGCACAATGGTTCGTACCCGAGCACAGTGGTTCATACCCCAGCACCGTGGTTGGTACTTGGGCACGGTGGTTGGTACTTGGGCACAGTGGTTCATAGCCCAGCACAGTGTTTGGTACCCCAGCACGGTGGCTGGTACCTCAGCATGGTGGTTCATACCCCAGCATGGTGCTTGGTACCTGAGCACGGTGGTTCGTAGTGCATAGCATGTCCCCAAGGAGAGCAGGGACAGGGCAGGATCTGAGGCGCTGAGGCCAGCTCATGCGGGCCTTTGGAAGGACAGCACGAGGGAATGTAAAGGGCTGCTCAGCCACCAGCGCTCCTTCACTGTCAGCGCGTGAAGACTGGTGGAGACTTCCCTTTCTGCACCGTGGAGCTCCAGGCTGGGCTCTTTTCTGCATCGCCGTAGCTGCCTTCCTGTCTCTCTATTGGCTGTGCAGGGAAAAATCAGCCTTCAAAACAGTTCTGGTGTCCAGAGTCTAGAAGAATATGGCTTATGCGTTTGAAAATGAACGCAAGGAGAGGCTACCCATGAGGAGCATTAATGTGCAGAGAAACACTGCACAGTAATGTTTTGCAGATAACTTTTTTATAGTGATGCTGTGTCAGTGTTAACTACCCTCAAAATATACTACCAAGGGGAAGAAAAGGGCCTGCTCTACAGAAGACTTCGTATCTGAAGCCTCTTTCTGTGAGCCTGTAAGACGCTGTAAATAAGAGGTTGCAGCCAAAGCTGCCGGTTTTTGGCCTCAGCAGTTGTGTCGTCAGGCCAGCCGTATCCTGCAGCCTGCGCAGCAGAGTCCCGCCTAACTAGAACAGGATCCAGGAAGGCGTCTGGCACGTTCGGCGTGCTCCTAAGAACAGCGTGCCAGCCACCCCTTCAGAGAAGGGAGTGACATTTGCCAGCGCGGTGGGAGGTTTGCGGCTTTCCTTGATTTTTCCTGAATCTTGTCATCCAAACCTGTGTCTTGTGTCTTCCGATAGAGCATCCCAAGTACCAGCTCTTGTGAGTGTGAGACACCTTCCACCCTTCCTAGCTTGATGCCAGGTTCAGTCAATGGAGAAAGGGAAGTATCGTGGCAGTCAGAGAAGGGATTGATGTCCAAAAGGTGCAAAATTTCCCTAAAGTTTGTGCTTTCTGATCCCATGAATGCCTTCATATAATCATGAGTAATGATGTTAATATACTTGATAATTTGACAGGGATAAGTAATCTCATCTGCATAGCTAAATTAGTATTCATGCAGCTGTCCCAAAGGGATACTGGCCAGAGCAAACTTTCTCTAAAGATATCTGACCATATAAATATCTAAACCACTTCTGTTTTACCAGAAATAACAGAAGAATTTGGTACAAAAAATCATGCAGCAGTACAGAAAAAAATGATTATCCAAGTTCTGTGAGCCTACAGGATTAGCAGTATGGTCTTCAGGTTTATTGTTCCAGCAAATACCATAACTTACTGCATAGGCTTATAACAGTCAATCTTCTTGATAATCTTGTTGATAAATTAATGGATAGCACAGCATTTCTGAATATAATATACATCTTGATCAGATCTTGAAGCAAGAACTATGTGTTTAATAAGCCCATGAGACAGTTTTAGAAATAATGGGACATCACCTAGTTTTTGTTTTTATGTTTTTACATTTTTTTTTTGTATATTTTGGGATAGTAAGCAAGCTGTTCTGTACTTGGATATGACCACACAACATTTTTGTCAGCTATGTATAAATTCAGAGATTTTAGAATTCCTAAAACAGATTGCTGGTTCCAGATGGCAGCAAGATAGACAGAGATTTCTTTTATATTCTCTGAGGAGCCTCCCTCTTTCAATAAAAGCTTCTTTTGAAGCTTGAGACCTTTAGGTCTACTGCTACAAAAATATGATTGAAATGGTGATTTAAACGTGGTCAAAATACAAGGCTAAATGTTTTCAAGCCCATTTTTAAGCCGCTTGCTAATTAGAGGATTCTACTTTTCTTTCTCCTGGAGAACCAAAGACTCATGTCCTTCTTAAATAGGGTATGCTCACTCTTGGGGCTTTCACTTTGTTTTTCTGTCTGGTTAACTATAACATATAATTGGGAGGCTGGGGAGCAAAAGAAAGCTGAAAATTTACTCAATCTCAATTTACTTTTGAGTTATCCATAAAGGAATCTAAAGCAAGTAGTCAATAGAAGTTGTTTGAGTTCAAACTGCATGAGTGGGGTGAGTAACAACTGGGTAATCTCCTTTGTAGAAGAATATTCTAAATTCTAAAATATTCTTCTTAAGCTGTTGTCTCAACTCAGTGGACCAAACAAACAAGAATTGGGGATCTGAGATCTGTCTTACTGATGGAACTAATTTAAAAGAAAAACTGTGGTCAAGTATTCGTTACTCTTAGGTTGTCACATGGTGTACTCTGTCCATGTTTAGTGTCTTTTTTCACAAAAAAAGTGATTTTTATTACACTTTTCAAATCCCAGAAGACTGTTATCTAGCTGCTTTTGATCTGATCTGATCTTTAAGCAGCATTTTGCATTCAATTGCAAAATAAATTGTGGTCGATTGTTGTAGGAACTGTTTCTTGTGCAGATGGTGTTACAGTAGCATAAAACTGATTAACTGTTTTTCCAGACAAACAAGGACATGAAGCACTGAACAAGGACCAAGAGGTTGACTATGATTTAGATGAGAATGAAGCTGAATCTGAAACAGAGAAGCAAGCTGCGCTTACAGGAACTGAAAATAACTTAAATGGTAAAAGGAAAAGAGGACTGTAATAGTTTTTCCCTAAGTACCACTAAAAATTAAGATGATACTTTAAAATTTTTCTGTAGCAAATGTGATTTCTGGGTGAGTGTTCCTCAGTTTTAATGGTGTGGCTGATTTTTCTCTACAGCAGCAGTGGAATTAGTTCTAACATGTTGTTGGTGGGAGTATCTGTAGCTTTTCTGTTCAGCATCAATAGCCCTCTGAGAATTGCCTTTGCTCTGTTTACATCTGTTGAACTAGAACTGCCACTCTTAGCTCTCTACAAGATTTAAGTACTTTTTTCTTTTCTTTTTCCCCAATTAGTTCCAAACCAGGAAGATAATGATGTGAAGAACCACTTACTTGATCAAGGCAAAGAACGGCAGAAGTTGTGAATAACGGAGGTTCATGATGACTTAGTCACCTCTGCATCAATGATGACAGCCAAATGATTTGAGAATCTTTCAATTACCTTCTCAAAGCTTAACATGGATTCATATGAAGTATTTTTTGTTGTTGTGAAGTTCTAGAACTGTTTAAGTGGTGGAAAAACTATCTTAAATCTCTGGTGGCTTCTTTCAAAGCAGCCAGGCCTCTGTTAAAAGTCTTTCTTTCCTCCTGATTATAGAACTGAAACTAGCTAGCAATAACTATAGTAATTTTGAAGTCAAATACCTTGTACAATCATACTGTGATAAGAGCTTGTGTGTGTTGGTGGTAGGTGGGAAAGAGTACTCTGCCTGAGCAATGCAATAGAGATCCCCAACCTAGCTTTAAGAGGACATTAGACTAACACACTTTGACAAAACATGTGAAAAGGAGATAAATTGTCCCATTCTGCTGTCTACTCTCATCGCAGTTCTGGAGCCTTTTATACTTCAATGTAGGTAGGAAGGTTTTTGGGTCTCGTAGACCAGATATGTGAGCTTATGAGGTCTCTACCAAGATCTTGTCATTGTACTGGTTTATTTCGTAGCTTTTAGCTGATAACAGTATCTTCACTGTTCACTGTTCACTGAAAGTGTATAACACTTTCACAATAAGATTAACCTAGCTCTATAGGAATTTTTTTTTGAAAGTAGTGTTTGTTGGACTCCTCATTTGCACAACTTGCACAACTTCAGAGCGCAAAAGCTCTGTCAAATTGACTCCTGAACTTTTGATGAGAGGTGCCTTCTGACATGGTGTGTTGTCTCTACCTTTTATTCCACCCAGGCAGTATCTTGTGCTAAAAAGTAGAGAGGCAAATACTTGATAAACTAAGCAAATTGCCCCTTGTACTCTTGAGGAAGGTAAACTAGACTATGCATTTAACAGACATTCAGTGTTTCCAACAGGGAAAGTTGTAAGTGTTGTGAAGTGCTGTGTGATGCACAATGTTGTTCATGTTCTGTAGTTGTCATTTTCTTTTGCAACTTAGTGAAGGTAAACTAGAAACTAGTTTACTGGGGATAAACCAGAAATACTCTCAACTACCACTAAGACACTCTTAGGAACCCCAGCTGCCTGCCTTCGGTCAGGCATCTGCTACAAGGAGGGATTTTCAAAGCTGATGAGGTCCCGTCATGACTTAAATACTTCTGAGCGCTTCTGTGACGTTATGCTAATCCCAGCTGTTACTCGGTTGCTCATAAGTTTGGGCCAGAGTTTACCTCTAAACTTCCGGGACAGAAACTATGGGGAGTTGTTTCCCAGTATTTGGTGCTGCTGATGGCAGTACACCATGCCGTATTCTAGATAGGTTGCAGGGCAAAAAGAAACCATTTTTAACTGCACTTTGTATAAATTGGTCATTTTAAGTATTGCATTTGTGCCTGTTCTTAGGAAAAGCCTAAGATCCATCTTCTATATAGATCCATCTTTGGGAGAATGAACCAGCCTAAACATCGCAGCATGAAAGAAGAAAGAAGACATGACTAACTTCCCCACTTAAATTATGAAACTTAAATTTCATTTAAGCAAGTCATGACTGTGTTTTAATGTGCTTTTTGATGATCATTATCACTGTGTGTCGTTATTCTAGTGTGCTAGTTTACAGCTCCTGTATCTTAAGATGGCTAAGTGTGCAAGTAGAGTTCAGTTTTCTTACATACATGAAGAGTAGTAGTTTAAAAGAGCAAAAAAACCAGGATCCACATTCAATCTTACCTATTATGTCTAAATTCACAGTTTACCACTGAGACTGCCTAGTTTAATGTTAATTAGTCTAAAGAAGGCACTGACCTCTGTTACTGAGTTCATCCTGGTTAGTGTGTTTTTGACTTCTTAAGCTGGATTTACAAGTGCTAGACTTTTTTTTTTTTTAAGGAAGATGAGCATCTCTTCTAAAAAAGACAAGTAATGAGAAAGTTGAGACGTTTCTGTTTTGTTGAATTTTGCTTTGAAATATTTTTCTGTAAACCAAGGTACAACTTATAAAAATGCTTACACAGATTCCAAATAAAACAGACATTAAGACTTAACTTATACTATCAGTTGAGGTAAAATCAATCTGAAATTTAAAAGTGATTGTTAAGCAACATTCATGCTAGTAAAATTCAGCACTACATTCAAATTGAATGTAGTTTAAACTACTACTTAAACTACTTAAACTGCAAAAATCCTAGGAAAAAAATAATCATAAAATTCTTCTAAAAACACTTTTGTTGGCTGCACTTCTGTAAAATAGCTGAACTTTTCTGGGATCTTTTGTAGACACTTGATGGTGCCTCCTCATAACCAGGACAGCCTTGTCCTGTCTCTCAATAGCAGGTGTCTGAAAGCCCATCTAAAAGCAGTGTTCAAGAATACAAAGGAACACAGTTTTGGCTGTAGTGGCTTCAAGTGCTACAGGATTGTGTTGGTGGAATTTTAAGACACGGGGCCTCTTTCTGTACTACCCCAAATTTTAAAATTGAAGGAAATGTAGTTGAACAGGAGATTCACTTGCAGATGTGGTTTACACAATATCGTCTATCACTAAAGTTTTTACTTGCATGAGGGATGGAAAGTTTCTTGACTGTAATCATATGGGGATTAAATTAACACTTTTTTAAAAAATAAATCCTAATCATTTTAGATAAGCATTTTAAAATAAAAATAATCTTCTCTACTGTGTATTATCTTGTTTTGTACAATTGATCTACTTTCAGTGTTTATCAGAATCAGAGCTGTGCATTTTGGTTTTATTAGTCCCCTACAGGTGGTATGATGTGAAATTTAGTATTACAGAAAAATATAGACAGATGTCCTTAAGCCACTAGCAGGTAGTTCAAGATTTTGAAGAGATGAGAAAAGCATTTGATAGTTCATGAGAAGATGTTAAAGTAGACGAATTCTCAGTGAGCTGCACTACTGCTAGTTGAACATCTTTTCAACTGTTTTCCAGCATGGTAAATGGTAAATGCATTCAGGTGTATGAAGTGGGAAGATGAACATGTAAAATACTACACAACCTCCTAGCAAAGGAAGGAGAAGAGGAACATCCTCCAGGCAGTGCTACTGCTTATTTGGAGAAACTGCAAGTTGTTGGCTGTTAAGTGAGCTGTCCACTTCAGCGTGTTTTTTTGCGTCCCTGCTGCAGCAGTGCTGCTGCTTAGGTGATGGAGGTGCCGTGGTATTTTATTCCATGCTGCAAATATACGTTAAGAAAAACATGGAAAAACTGTCCAGCATGATGAAGAGAGAATTACAAGTTTATCTCTGCAGAGGAAGCCATTTTACACTTGAATAAAGAACTGCCCCTTTCAACAGGGTTTCTTAGAAGCCCATTAGTTTTTTAAAAAATATTTTGATCTCTTGCAGTAGTGAACGTCTCACCATAAGAACCTACCTTATGTTATTTCAGATCTGGAAAAACAGGAGAAAGAATCATCTTTATTGAAGGAAAGGGTAAAGCTCCTCCTATTTGATAATTTGACGAGTGCAGAGTGCAGAAAAGCAGGTGGTGGGATCCCCGCTGCAGTGCTGGAGCCAGAGGACAAGAACAACCATCAGTCATGCAACCAATTACAAAGGAGGCAGGGCTGATGAGAAAGGTGCCTCAGGATTAAAATAAAGTTGTAGTGACTATGTATGTCAGCAAAAAGTCCATTTTTGCATTCCTGTGTTGTTGAGGCCTATTCTAGTGTTAGCAGTACAGATCATCTAGTATCATACAGAATTAAGACAAAAGGGGAAGCTACAACCAGAAATAACCAATCCTCCCATTCTTTCCCCAAGGATGCATCTTCATTCAAGACAAATGACTTTTGTTAAACAAAATTACTGAGGTAACTGCATTAGGAGTTGAATGAAAAAGTCTAGTTTTCATCTGGCCTTTATTTCTAGAAGACTGCGTTAGCTTTGCAGACAAGGGTTTTTAAAAAACAACAACAAAAACTTTCTGCTTGCAAAATGAACAAGTTTGATGCAATTTACAGAGAACAACAAGTGTAAACTCAAGTCTTTTTCCAAGCAGCTTTGTTTAAAGCAGAATTTCTAACTCAGCTGTGCCTAATACACAAGACTCTACTGCTTCATTTCTGTTCAGCCAAAAGTGTTACCAAATCCTCAAAACATCACCTGCAGTCAGTTTTTATTTGTAGAAATGATTTATGATTAAACTTGTAATAAAACTGAGTAAGGTACACTATTCAAATCAGCTTCACCTGTAGAATATTATACAAACCACTTTAAAACAGCAGTTTTCATTCAGATCACATAAAGAAGAGAGACTAGTGATATTCCGCGTAACAGTACTTTTATCCCAGAGATCCCTTTTAGTCTGAGTACAGTACTGCATCCCACAGCTGGTATCTTATTTACAGGTTCTGCTTCATATATCCTAACAATTCATCCTTCAGACAAGCTTCACAACTGGAAAATACTTGTGAGGGGAGAAGTCAAATTCTGGAGGAACCTGGAAGGAATGAGTTTAAAACATTACATGGAGGTACTAGTGAGTTCAATACCCCAACTGGGACACATGCTACAGATAAAAGCATTTAGAGGTTAAAAGATTGAACAAACTAATCCCAGTTCTTTAAATCATGTCCAAAATGTTCCTGCCTGGGACTGGCTTTAGCCGTAGCTCTCCACTAGTAATGGGTACCAAGTTTTAGAGTGCAAAGTTTAAGAGTGCTAGTCCGGTGAATTAATGCAGGTGCTCCTTCCTCCTTGCCCTTCTCAGGCTGGAAGTGAACAGTTCCTCTGGCCCATGGCAGCTGCTGATGCTCTCCCTGTTGGGTTCCCAAAAAGCTGTTTATAGACTGCTCCCTCCTTCCACCTCTTCACAGCTGCCCGCAGCTGTACGTGCCATCCTGAAAACACTTTCCAGTTTCCAACACACTTAAGTGTTCTGTACTTAAAAATGGAAACAGATTATTCCCCATTCCTAAAATCTGTATTTTAAAAGGCACACACTGGAAAAATGGATTAGGTTACTTCTTCAATTCTTGTAAGATCCTTAATTCTTGTAAGTAATCCAGCTTGTAAGAGCTGGAATAAATGAACTGCTAATTCAGCTTTAGGAGTTTTGTGGTACCACTGTTGATACAACTGTATTTTACATCTAATTCAACTACTGCTTTCTTACCTTAGAGTCTTTTTTATGACCTCCAGCCAACAGCTTCATGACCACAATATTGGGTTTAGCAACTTTTAGAATTCGATTGACCTAAACAGAAAAGGGGCAGAAAAGTTTCAAGCAAAAACACATGATCTCGAAATTATTTTGAGGATAATACTGAGGTTTTGCCTATGGTAAGAATGAAGTCTTCCTACAGTATCAGTTTATTTTAACAGATACCAAGGCATTTTGTACATATCAGTTGGAATAATGGATAAAATAAATACCTCATTTAATAATCACTTTCTACTCAACACACCACAGTAATCCCTACTTTCCATGCTTGCGTTCAAAGAACGTTCTATGGCATGTTCTGAGGTACTTTTCTGAATAAAAGTATAGACAAAGCTCCAGGCATCTATGTTCAAATCCTACAAGAACAGGCAACTAGAGTACCAAGTAAATTTGCCTTTTGCTTGAAAGTGCTTGGACACAATTGATTCACTTCCAACTACCCTGTCAGCCTCAGGTAGTAGCTCTTGCTTAAGTATCTCTGAGATCCAGATCACAAATAGAGATTTCTAATTCTGTAATTTTTTTTAACCTGCTAATAAAATGACAGAATCAGTGTCCTCTTCTCTAAAATACTGACCCTTTTTTTTTTTTTTTTAATATAAGCAGAGAAGGAGAAAAATTAATTCTTATTCACATTTAAAGCCCAAGTGCTGAGAAAGCTGTACCAGGAAAAGAGTGCCAGATTCAAATGCCCCTTTCAGGCTGATGGCTTTTTTCTCCTCTCATAGGTGAACATGTGAGCTAGGTTACACATAGTGGGAAGGTCACCTTTTTGAAACTGTAGCCCTTTCTGTAAAGACATAAAACTGCAGAATGAGCCCTGTAGGACCATTCAAGATAGAACTAAGTTGGTTATCTAAGAATTAAGATATGCAGGAAGGAGAGGTTCTCAAACAGCGTGCACAACCAGATTTGGTTATCAAACAACCCAGCATTTAAGCTGTCTCCACCCTTCTTTGTCCACTTGAATCACTCAACTTTGCTCAGCTTTTTGACAAAGTACATTTGAGGCACTTTGGACCTCAGGCACATCATGCTGGCTTCTGCTCAGCACAGATTTGTCCAATTTCCTTTTTAAGGCACCTAATTCTTCTTTCACCACTGGAAAGAACGATGGGATACATAACATGCTTCAACCTAAACAAAATAAAATCACGCTTCAATGTCTATTTGTATTGCAACTTGTATTGCAATTTGTATTGCAATTTGTATTGCAACTATACTAACAGGCTAGTTGTATAAAAGCTTAAATTATTTAGAGAATAATTTGACATCCAAATAAGTCATTCTTTAGATCCAGGTGAAAACAAATTCACTTATTCCATTGTTACCTTCAAGTTACATTTCTAGTATTTCAGTCTCACCTCATGGTCTGGATTGGGGATATTCTCAAGAATCATTTTAGCTTGCTGGAAGTGTTTGCTAGCTGCCATGTAGAGATCCGATGACTGAGGAGGGGGGCTGTACTTGTTTAAATCAGACATTTCCTAGCATGTTACAGAAATAGATACATATTAAAATCAATTGCCAAGGAATTATATTTCTATCACCTTAATCTAAGACAAATTTTAATATTCATGTAACTGTATTTATTTTAAGACTACTGTAATATTTTAAGAATAAGTGATGAAGTTAAGATTCATTGAAAATGGTGAATAGTCAGCTACAGCTGTTTAATGATTTCTAATTCCACAAAATGATGGGAACATCTGGTTCTGTTAAAGTGATCACTATTTCAAACAATGTGAGATTCATTTGCTTTAGTAATGCTACACAGTAAGAAATTAAACTACAGGAAAAAACAGACAAGGAAAAGGAAAGATAGGTAATCAACTCAAGACACAATTTTAAATTAAAGCACATTTACAGCAAGAGGCATACCAATGTTTTTCAGAACTTCATGTAATATTGATGCTGCAATTTTTTTTTTAATTGGAGATGAAATAAGGATGAAATAATTTCTTTAGCAGGGAGAAAGCAAGGACAGCTCAACTCCTACTACAACTGTTCATGACCGTAAGTTACAAGGGATGGGTGACATATTCTTTTTACTGTCCACAATGCACCACATTTAAGATTACTCACTTTGAACTGCAAATAGTGTACTGGGGGTGGTGTGATAACACTGTTGAACGGAGCAAATCTGTGCTCATATCGAACTTGCTCGCTATCCAGTTCAAACTTAGGTTTTCTT